TATGATTATATATATATATATATATATATATATATATATATATATATATATATATATGTGTGTGTGTGTGTGTGTGTATTTAAAATATTTAATACGGCAATTTTTTATATTAAAATGATGAAAAAGTAATTTGAACGAACGATTCAATGACTCACTAAATGATGCAGTCGACACAAATGTTATTTGAAGTGCCAGTTACTTTCAAAAGAGGATTTGCTCTATTTTGATCGCTACAATAGAAATCAATGTTTATATATGGGCCCGTATTCACAAAACATCTTAAGGCTAAAAGTAGCTCGTAACTCGCCGATTTAGGAGAAAATCTTAAAAACAATGGGCGTCAGTCCTAAACTTAGGACTCCTACATTTTTGATCTAAAAGTATTCCACGAAGCATTTTAGCTCTAAAACTAGCTCCTAAATCTGTGAAACGTTAGGAGTAGTGAAGAGGACTCCTAAGTCACTAAGACCAAACCACAAACCACAAACTTGCCGGCAATCTGCCTCGGAACATAAACATTTTTAGAAATATTTGATGATAATTTATCACCTTCGGTTTTGAAGGTTATCCCAACTCCAAATTTTCCTTTGATCATGTCCTTGTTTTCATTAACCAGTTGGGCAAGAAGTAACAGCTATGCTTGTGTCCAGTTAGGTTTTCTTTTACGTTTGCATGTCTTACTATCTGCCATAATTATTCTACTCTGTTTATTAGCTGTTTATATGCATATTCACTAATTATGAGAAGCATACATGTAAGAGGCTGACAATTAGCGGAACACATACTTGTTTAATTAGTGAAACTTAGCCTGCATTTTAAAATCTTTATTTGAATGTGACAACATTTTTATTTTTAAACCTTTATCTTTACTCTAATATATTTCTATGAATAAATCTCTGACAGAGACTATCAGCCAATCACTGTGTGCATCCTCGGAACATAAACATTTTTAGAAATATTTGATGATAATTTATCACCTTCGGTTTTGAAGGTTATCCCAACTCCAAATTTTCCTTTGATCATGTCCTTGTTTTCATTAACCAGTTGGGCAAGAAGTAACAGCTATGCTTGTGTCCAGTTAGGTTTTCTTTTACGTTTGCATGTCTTACTATCTGCCATAATTATTCTACTCTGTTTATTAGCTGTTTATATGCATATTCACTAATTATGAGAAGCATACATGTAAGAGGCTGACAATTAGCAGAACACATACTTGTTTAATTAGTGAAACTTAGCCTGCATTTTAAAATCTTTATCTCAATGTGACAACATTTTTATTTTTAAACCTTTATCTTTACTCTAAAATATTTCTATGAATAAATCTCTGACAGAGACTATCAGCCAATCACTGTGTGCATAGTTAGTAAGCATACTGACATCATCCATAGCAACGAGGTCAACCCCGCCCTTACTCTTAGTTTAAGACTTCTGTCTATTCCTTAGTAAAAGTTTGTCTCAGCAGCTTTGTGAATAGGTTTTAAGAGAAAACTATTTGCTAAAAACTTTTACAGCTATTTAGGAGAACTCTTAGTGGTAAGATAAAATGTTTTGTGAATACGGGCCCTGAACTATAAACTTTCATCCCAGTATTTCTGTGATAATATGAATGATTGTAAGACAGAAATAATACTGTGTAGTTGAAAAGACTGTTTGCGTATCTGTTTCTTACCCAAACATGGTAACTATCTGCTCTCTGTGTCAGCGGCTGCATGAACGCAGATTTGATTGTTCCGGTAAGACTTTTTCAAAGGTTTAATAGACACGGGCAAATCATTGTCATTTAAAAATGGGATTGCATGGCTGTTTGAATCAAGATTGCAATCTTTTAATGATTAATCGTGCAGCTCTACTGCTGCTGCACAAATAGGCTAGCATATATAATAACCCATAGCAGATCTATACAGGTGGAGCTGGGGAAGGTGGAGGATTTTAGAGAAACTCTGAAAGGGCGCTGCAAAATGCTGAAGTGAATGCTAATCAGCTATTTAAATGTAAAGCAGTAAGCTTATTGGCTGCGTATGCAACATGGACCAATCATCTTGTGCAAAGTCATTTAATGCTGTGAATATCATCACTTTACGTTAAGAATCCTTCAGCCTGCACCATCTAGACTAGAGTTTCATGACAGAACTTGGCATTTGTTTGTTTTATTCTGCAGTGTTTTTCATTCTTTTCTTTTTTCTTTTTTTTGCCAGATACAATGTCAATATAGTCAGTAAGAGTCAAACTTATGAAAAGTGCAAGCATGCTTTGTGCTTAAAACAGTGGGATAAAGCTAAAAAATATATAAGTAAGCTTTATAAATAAATATAATTAAGTCAGAAACTTTCTTTTCTTCTGTTTCCTACAGACCACCTGTCCTGCTGAATGTCTAAGCTGGAGACATCCAACAGTTCCCACTTTCTGGTCCTGGTGCAAGTCAAAGGGACAAGAGGGTTTTCTCTCCAGCCACAATGAGTGATGTTGTCATTGTGAAGGAGGGATGGTTACATAAGAGAGGTAAAAATTCTTTGAAGATGCGATACTTGTGAGAAACAAGCAAAAAATTCAATTTTTGTTTACATAATTTATTACCATTAGATCATGTTAGTTATCCAGATAAGAGGTGGTTATGAACTCAGTCTCTTAAAAAATACTAAAAACCTAGCCTGTCTACTCACAATTAAGAGTCCAAACTGCATTATAATTGATGCACTAAGTCCAACAGAAACAGCACAATCTGCATATTTATAAACATTCAAGACAAACGTCACTACGTGAACTTCACAACTGTTTGTGGCTGCCTGACATTTTGCTCTCCTGAGCATTTTGACTGCTCTCAGCGCTTTCTACAATCCGGTGTCAATTCCACAATTCACCTTGCAAGTGTGAAGCTCAACTTCCATTGGAGTTAACTGAAAATACTCTGCTCCGCCTCGCTCAGCACCAGTGTAAACACTACGTCAGTGACAATTCAAAAGGCTGCATGTGTCTATAGCTTTTACAAAAGCTGCCATTCTTTTTCTTTTTTTAGCAGTTTATTTTAGTGTTTAATGTAGTTTTATATTTTCCTTCTTTTCTTATTTATTCAGTATTTTCAACATTGGCCAACATGTAATCATATCACATTCTTCTTAAGTAAATTTTCCTACTGTACGTGTCACTGAGAGGATATTACTGTGTTGCACTCCTCAAAGCATGGAAATTGTGAGCGCATGTCTGTCCTTGCAAACCACAGAGCATCAGAGTCATTGGGCCAAAGAGGCAGATGCAACAGTGTGCAGGGAAAAAGCCTGAGGGTGTGGAGAGCAGAAAACAGCATAAGGGCTGTATATCAAGCACTCGGGGTGTTTGCTATCCTCATTTTGCCAGGGTCCATGAGGCAAGGACTGACGGACAGTGTAGGGCTGTGTACTTCTGTAGGCAAGGTCATTCCAGTTCAGCTATGCAGACAGACACCACCCGTAATGGCACTCTAGGCCCAGATGAAAAGCAGCTCTGCCTTTGCCTGGATTTATGCTGCTTAGCGTGGCGGCAGGCTTGTTTTGCCCACAAGGGATTTAGGGAGTTATTTTTTTCCCTATGTGTGGCCCTGGGGGCATGTATTTTTTGTTCATCTGTTAATGTTTAGCATATTTCATTTTTCATCAAAATTTAATTTCGATTATTAGTATAATTGGATTTGTTCGTTTTTAAAGATGCTCACCTGTTTATAATCCCCTTTACTAACAAGAAGTGCTCTTCTGCTCATCTGTCTATAAACTTAGCTGATGTCCTTAAAAAGACGAAAGTCCTTGAGTGAAAACTGTGTCTGTGCTTAATTGTAAAAGAACAATTTTCACACTAACTTGTTGATTATGTATACACACAGAGATGAGCTGGTTCAGTTGTTTTTCATCGCAGAGGATTGCTTAGATCATATAATGTCACCTTTTTTTATATGATTTTTTTTAAATAATGTGCTGTTACTGGTCAGCATCTCTTCCAGGTTTTTATAATTTTGATCACCTTGTCTCTTAAACAGCCTTGCGGTGTGATATTTTTAAAAGCAGAAATTTTCCATTTAGTCTCTTGGTTATTTGTAAAACTGCATGATAATTATAAGGAAATGTACAGAATACTAAAGTATAATATCACATCACTCCGCGTATAAACTTCCTAAACTATACTTGATGTAAACTCTACAAATATTTATCATATACACTATCATTCAAAAGTTTAGCATCAGTAAGATTTTTGCTTTTATTCAACAAAAAATGTAATTGGTCAAAAGTGACAATAAAGACATTTGTAATGTTATTAAAATAAATACCGTTATTTTAAACCAGTTATTAAACAGTTTTCACCATTAATAATAAGAAGAAATGTTTACTGCGCATTAAATCAGCATATTAGAATGATTTTTGATTGATCATGTGACACTGAATACTGACGTAATGACTGCTGATAATACATATGTAATTACATTGTATATTGGTCAAATAAATGCAGCCGTGGAGAACATCAAAAAAAATTTTTTTTAATTAAGTGGTGTATACTGTATGTTTATCATATATCGTATCATATACAGTATATCTTAGATATTACAAAATGTGTTTTGATTACCACTTATGCCTCCAGTTTAAATGTGTCTTTATAATAATAACATAATAGTGCCTTATGTATTTAGTGATCCATGTTAGCATAACATACGTTTATTAAAATATTAATACATGAATGTTTCCATGTTATGTTTGGATATGTTTTGTTCTACTGATCTGTTTATTTCCAGGAGAATACATAAAAACATGGAGACCAAGATATTTCTTACTCAAGAGTGATGGAACATTTATTGGGTACAAAGAGCGGCCACAAGATGTTGACCAGCTGGAAACTCCACTCAATAACTTTTCAGTGGCCCGTAGGTATCCATTTTGTTTTATCAGTTTGCAGAGGAACACACACACACACACACACTATGCTTTTTTGCTGTCCCCTTTTGCATCCTTTCCTAACCCCACCTAAGAACACCAAAATAGCAAAAAACACTCTTTCTCTCTCTTTTATTCTCTCAGAATGTCAGTTGATGAAGACAGAGCGACCGAAGGCAAACACTTTTATTATTCGGTGCCTGCAGTGGACTACTGTTATTGAACGCACTTTTCATGTTGAGACCCCAGAGGAAAGGTTGGTATGTTGTATTCAGAAGCAGACAGTATACAGTACAGCGTCTACTGTTTAGCTTAACGGGGTCCTATTATGCTCTTTTACAAAGTCTTGTTTTTGTTTTGGGGGTGTACTAAAACAGGCTCTCATACTAGGTTGTTTGAAAAATACATGATTTTTCACATATTTTACATTATTACAACACCTCTCTCCCCAGTCTGGCATGAACGGCTGGAATAGTTATTGAATCAAATGAAAGCCCGCCTTCTGAAATACGAAATGTGTTGTGATTGGTTAGCTGGGCCAGTGTGTGTTGTGATTGGCAGCACTCGGCGCCTGGTCAGGAAATGTCATGCCCCTTACCATAACCGCCTGCTTGAGCTTCAGTGTAAATATTGCGTCAAAATCAAATCAATTTGAGCACGATATAAACCCGGATGATTGTAACCACTCTAAGTTCGTCTGCCTTGGGAAAGCTAGCGTGTCTCCGACATAGTGATAACACTCGTTGCCTTCTCTAGTGCAGGTCAACCAGGTCTCGTCCCATTCGTCGATATTTGTGATATCACAAATCCCGGAAAATATGCATTGCAGTCCAAACGAGTCGTTTATTGTAGTTTTTGAAAAGTGATTTCTGTTAAATAAAATATCTCCTTTTGAAGTGGACTTTGAGCTTTGTAATTTTGCAGATCTTTTTTATGCTCAAACAGCAACATTACAGACTAACTAAAGTTGAAAAAGTGAAAAAGCATAATAGGACCCCTTTAAATTCATGATAGCACTCCTCAAGTTCCCTAAAGTACATTTTTTTTACTCTTACTGAACAAAAGAAAGCTGTAAAATTAGAGTTCCCCTACATGATTTTCTTGTTTTCGGCAGGGAGGAGTGGACAAAGGCCATCCAGGCTGTGGCAGATAGTCTACAGAAGCAGGAGGAAGAGAGAATGGACTCTTCACCCGACCCTATGGACATGGAGATGTACCTGTCCAAACCTCGACTCAAAGTGGTAGAGAGTTTCTTGTTCTCTCTACTCTTTCTATAGAAATTTAAAGATAAAGTGTGTTTTTTTTTTTATTTAGGTTAAAATATTTTTTAAGGTTGCTAAACAACTCTTAAGTATACACTGTAAAATGAAGTGAACCTCAGTTCACTCAGAGGGTGAAAAAGCTAAATAAACAAAATATTCTGTGTAAATTAAATTTTTGTACCTTAGATTTGATTTTTAAAATAATATTGGATATTTTAAAACTGTATTTCTCAAAGACTTTTCTTTATGCTGTTGTGTAGACAATGCATGACTTTGAATACCTCAAACTCTTGGGGAAAGGCACTTTTGGAAAGGTCATACTGGTGAAGGAGAAAGCCACCGGAAAATACTATGCCATGAAAATTCTTAAAAAGGAGGTTATAGTAGCAAAAGTAGGTCCTTTGCTTTTTTCTGTCTACTTTTTATCAGTAAATTTAATCATTGGTTTGTCTATTTGCCTGTACAATGTATTTTGGCAAGTTCTATTTATATGCATAAATTGTAGTTACTTCCTATTAGAAGTTCTAACAAATTCTTTTCATTCCTTTATTTACAGGATGAGGTAGCACACACACTTACTGAAAACCGGGTCCTCCAGAACTCCAAACACCCTTTTTTAACAGTAAGCTGATGATATCAAAGTAGAGAGACTGTAAAGAGTAAAGAGACATTTTAGAATGAGTGTTTATCACACACTAGTACTAATTTATGGAACATTCCGTTCAGTTTTTTTGACATGATTTTGGGTTAAGTTTATTTTTAAATATTAATTTCATTGAGCAGGGGCAGATCTATAAAATTGTTTATTGGGTGGCATAAGGACTATAAGTAGTGGCATCCATGCATATTTCTTGTCAATTTATGGCCTGGCATAAACATTTGTGTCCATGAATATTCAAAACATTTGCATTACCACAAAATAACCATCTGTACTGGTAATAATTTCAAATAAATAAAAAAAATGATATCAAAGTAGAGAGACTGTAAAGAGTAAAGAGACATTTTAGAATGAGTGTTTATCACACACTAATTTATGGAACATTCCAGGTTCAGTTTTTTTGACATGTTTTTGGGTTAAGTTTATTTTTAAATATTAATTTCATTGAGCAGGGGCAGATCTATAAAATTGTTTATTGGGTGGCATAAGGACTATAAGGAGTGGCATCCATGCATATTTCTTGTCAATTTATGGCCTGGCATAAACATTTGTGTCCATGAATATTCAAAACATTTGCATTACCACAAAATAACCATCTGTACTGGTAATAATTTCAAATAAATAAAAAAATATCAATATCCAGGGCACCAAGACACTGTCTATTAAACATATCAATAGATTCTAAATGTCTCTGAGCTTGTAAGAGCAGAACTATCATTATTACCTAGCAAAGCTGTTTTGTTCATATTATTCTATCTACGCTGACCTTCAAACTTCAAACTATTTTAAATTCAGGGCAACATAAAATTTGTCTTTTTTAAAAAGTTTATCTAGTTAATGCTGATTAGATTCTTACATTCTTACACTTTTTGTGATCAGTAATTTATTATTGATTTCAGATGGCAAAAAGTGATGATTTCAGATGATTTCCGTTATGAATGAATGAATGAATGATGCATTTATATAGCGCTTTATTGTGAATTGTTGTACACCCAGAGCGCTTTACAATCATGTGGGGGGGGGTCTCTCCTCAACCACCACCAGTGTGCAGCATCCACTTGGATGATGCGATGGCAGCCACAGGACAACTGCGCCAGTACGCTCACCACACACCAGCTACAGGTGGAGAGGAGAAAAAGTCATAGAGCCAATCAAGTGGTTGGGGATTATTAGGAGGCCATGATTGACAAGGGCCAGGGGGGCAATTTGGCCAGGACACCGGGGTTACACCCCTACTCTTTACGAGAAGTGCCATGCGATTTTTAATGACCACAGAGAGTCAGGGCCTCGGTTTAACGTCTCATCCGAAAGACGGTGCTTTTTTTTGACAGTATAGTGTCCCCATCACTATACTGGGGCATTAGGACCCACGTAGACCATAGGGTGAGCACCCCCCCCCTGGCCTCACTAACACCTCTTCCAACAGCAACCTAGTTTTCCCAGGAGGTCTCCCATCTAGGTACTGACCAGGCTCAACCCTGCTTAGCTTCAGTGGGTACCAAGAAAAAGCTGCTTGGACAGTTGAAACATGCGACAATAAAATAGTTAGTCAAAGGTCAAAATAAATCAGGAGAAGCGTTGTGGCATATAATATCCCGCAATCCCAGGTATGCTATCCGGATGGGATTAGATTTCTCTGAGGATCTCTGAATTAGCAGAAAAATTCAGCTTTTTCTGTGGAGTCAAATTTATTTCCACTGATAATCAATATTAAACTAGAGAATAAATGTAAATATTTCTTTAATAGCAAATGTTACAACACCTTATGTCACCTGTGTTTCAGGGTCTGAAGTATTCTTTCCAGACTCATGACCGATTATGTTTTGTTATGGAGTATGCAAATGGTGGAGAGGTGAGATCTCGTAAAGGTGAAGTTTAGTAATGATTGTTTATTAAGATTAATGAAGTAATTATTTAATTTGCATGCAGTCAAATGCTTTATTTAAATAATGTGTGTACTACGTATAATATATTTTATCCCAGAAGATTCAAAATTCCAGATGTTCTTACTGTTTATCATTTGGGATATTTATGGGGTATTTGTTCTTATATCACAGCTTTTCTTTCATTTATCGCGAGATCGTGTTTTTTCGGAAGAGAGAGCACAGTTTTATGGAGCAGAGATTGTCTCAGCCCTGGATTACCTTCATTCTGAGAGAAACGTTGTTTATAGAGACTTAAAGGTGAGATTAGTGGAAAAAAAGCCATACAAGATGAATCATGTTTAATAACTTTAAATGTGTAAAATGACTTGTCAGTTATGTTGTGTTTAGTGTAATGCTACTTGTTATATCATTATCAAACCAATATATCACATAACAATGAAATTATTCTGTGGAAGTTGGAGAACTTGATGCTGGATAAAGATGGCCACATAAAGATCACTGATTTTGGCCTGTGCAAGGAGGGAATTACAGAGGGAGCAACAATGAAGACGTTCTGCGGTACACCAGAGTATCTGGCTCCAGAGGTAAGAAAACATTAGATGAAAGAGATGTGAAATGAGTTCCATACACTAGTAGTTTGTAAATATACTCTGTAATAATGTCTGTATGAACATAGAGAATAGAGAAGGAAATCCAGGTAGGAACAAAGAAACACATTTTTTCTATCTCTGGAAGCAGATCTTCTCTCAAGGTTGAGGCCCATGGATGTGGCAGAGGTGGATCTTTTCATTTTGAGAAAGACAGCCCAGAGTGCCTTTCGGTTCTCTCTTTCCCTACCATCGTCTTTAGGGATAGATACTGACTAATGTGTGGCCAATGGCTCTCTTATATGTCTTCCTGCTGACAGGAGAGTGCAGGAAGACAAAGTGAGTCTTCCGCTTACTGGGTTTTAATCAGATCTGACCTTTTGAAGACCATTTTGAATGCAAGAGCTCATTCATACATCTGGCAGGTCACGTTAGTCAATCTCGCATCAGCTGACTCTCAGCTGATCCCCATCAACCTATGGGACTACGACACCTATTTAATCATTCATATATAAGGTCCCTCAGTATTATCAGCCGTTTTCGCATTGCTCAATAGCTAATTACCCTCCTCCATCCCCAACTCCTCCTCTGTCAGTTAGGATTCAGCCTTCTGATTCTCCTTTGAATCAGACTAATTCTAAAATGTTTACATAATATTATTGAACTTTAACGATATGTGCAATACATTTATCTTGGTTCTTTTCTGTTTACCCTGGGGGGGGGGGGGGGGGGGGGGGTGTTGCTATGCACTTTTAAGTGGTGTCAATTTGCATCATGGTGTAATCAGATTCTAGAGCATGCAATCTGGATCTGATTCACTGACCTGTTGGTTCAGTGCTGGCTATCCCTAAAGCGGATCCTGGCTACACTTAAGGTGTATGCAGCAGAGTGATGGATAACTTGACCTGTACTTTACAGTGCTATTGTGATTCCTCCAACATTTAGATTTCACACATTTTGCATGTTATATATTTCCTTATCACCGCATAATGAACCAATAATTCAAGCTGGCAATTACTATAACTATATCCAGCTTTACCCACATACTGTACGTGTTTGTCACTACATCAAATAAAAATCTAACAAAACCTAACAGATTTTATACCTTTCAAACCTGTCAGATTAACATATCATAACATAATGTATTAATAACGCCAACTCGCAACTACGTACATCCAGTGTTATTCACATACACATGCTCAGATAAAGCGATATGTGCTGTATAGCAAATCTCAGCTAAGTGATTGTTTATAGCGTTTCCATATGTAAACTAATCTATTGCCAGCTACTATCATCTATAGCAGAGGTGTCAAACTCAGTTCCTGGAGGGCCACAGCCCTGCATAGTTTAGTTCCAACCCTGCTCCAACACACATACCTTGTAGTTTTCAAATAAGCCTTAATGACTTGATTAGCTGGATCAGGTGTGTTTAATTAGGGTTGCATCTAAACTGTGCAGGGCTGTGGCCCTCCAGGAACTGAGTTTGACACCCCTGATCTATAGATAGGCTATAGCCTATTGGTAAATGTGGGCACTAAATGTATATTGTAAAAATCGATATACAAATGAAAATTGTCTTCTATCTTTCAAGCATTTGGGAGTATATTTGGGAATATACCACCATTTTTATAAGTTCCACATGCTATCATCTGATCTGTCATGTGATTAATCATGGATAATAATAGTACAGCGAAAGCGATTAGAGAGCAGATGGCTCCTTATGCTTTTGAATCGCTCTTGTGGTTGTGGTACTTTGATGTCATACACCTATTGGTCTGCACAGTGCCTCTTAAAATTGAACATACCTAATGGAGAGGTTAAGAACTTATGTCATTACAAGCCATGAGCTGTGATGTGAAAGGCATAAAACAGCCATTTTATGCTTTTAAGTTGATTCCAAAAATCACTGTTAGAACATTGGTTAAACTGTAATTAAATACATGATGTTGATGATTTTACATGAATTTACATGAAATTTTTTTTTTGTCAGAATACACAGCAGATTTTAAATGGTTTTCAATGAAAAAAAAAAAAAGAAATTTTCCACGATATTGTAGTTATCTACCATGCCAGCCAGCAAAATCTTGACCCCTTGGCTCTAATTTTGGTTCTCTGCTACTCTTTCTCAGGTTCTTGAGGACAATGATTATGGCCGGGCGGTGGACTGGTGGGGGTTGGGTGTAGTCATGTACGAGATGATGTGCGGCCGGCTGCCCTTCTACAACCAGGATCATGAGAAACTCTTTGAATTGATCCTCATGGATGAGATCCGTTTTCCTCGTACACTTGGACCTGAGGCAAAATCTTTGCTGTCAGGACTGCTTCAGAAAGACCCAAAGCAGCGGTGAGAGACCTCTGATTGTTTTGAAGTCGCTTCTAGTGTTGTGTAGTCTTCTCCATGTGCGTTGTTTCAAGAATTCATGATGAATGATGGATCATTTTCTCTCAAGTAATTGATCCATAACATCACTTGGAAGGTCTGTGAGTCTGTTAATTGATTTGTAATTTTTTTAATCAGAGCAGTTTACATGCAACCTTGTCCTTGAATGAAGTTAAAAAATATAATGGTCAAATAAAGAGAACATTTTCTACTTTTGTTGGCAGTAATACCACCATAGCAAAATATTGCCAACAATATACATATTTCTACATCTTTGTCATATTTGAATAAAATCTTAAAATTTTAGTGGAAGCTGAGCTACCTTTGCAGTCTTTACTGCACAAGCAATGCCACTTGGTACCTAATCTTTTGGGAGTGTTTGTACGAAAAATAGCCAAATGTACTGAACATTACTACTTTTTTTTCATATGACTTGTTTAGTTTTTATTTATTTATTTATTTATTGCATAGGAATGGGGATTGACTATAGTGGCCCAGATTTAAAACTGCTAGTCAGAGACAAGAGTGGTTTATTTCAAATGTGGTAGAACAGTCCGTGATTGAAAAATAGTGAGCAGATGATGTTTAGATTAAGATGTATCACAAGCTATGAAGACTCTGTCTTTTGGGGACAATTGATTTAAATTAGTAGTCTTACAAATAGTCTTCTGTGACTATTTTGCTGTCACACTGTTTATTATATATCCCTGCCAAAAGTGGCCAAAAACCCTGTAAAATCAGTCTGGTTTAGCCTGAGAGACCAGCATGGATTAACTAACCGAAATATTGATGGGTACAGTGTGAATCAGATTAGGTTTTGAGAAATTGCCATGACAGAGGTGCATTGTGGTAACGTAGTGGCACTAGTTGTTGACTCGTCAGCTTGCTAATAAAAATGCTGCTCTCTTGATCACTTAGTCAAGTGAAAAAAAATTACAAGCAAGAACTAAGAACTGTGTGACAGGGAAAATCTAGTTTAGTGAATGTATAGTTTTGTGTCTGTGTTTTAACACTTCCCTGAAAGTTGTTCTTGGAAGAGGCATTAAAGGTAACAAGGGAATGTAACTGTTTGTTTATCTGTTCTTGGGTTTTCTTTCTGCAGGTTAGGTGGAGGTCCAGATGATGCCAAAGAAATCATGCAGCACAAGTTCTTTGCAGGCATTGAGTGGCAAGGTGTTTATGAGAAGAAGGTGAATAACAATAGCATGTAGGCATTGACAAAATGCTTTTTAGTAATAAAGAGAGGCCACTAAATATATATATATATATATATATATATATATATATATAATATCTGTTTCTCCACAGCTTGTACCACCCTTTAAGCCCCAGGTAACCTCAGAAACAGACACTCGCTATTTTGATGTGGAGTTTACAGGGCAGACCATCACCATCACACCCCCAGGCCAAGGTGATGCCCCTGTTTTACAGTACATGTTAAAAATTCTCACTTAACAGGTATTTGGATAATAACGGAGGCACCACCTAGTGGTGATTTACAGGTTGCTCTATAAAATAGAAAAAAAATTAGAAGAAAAACTGTATATTTTTCAATGGTCATGCTTTTATCTGTGTTGTTTTAAGTATGACTTTTTTCCCAGATGAAAACATGGAGTCCTTCGACAGTGATAGAAGACCCCACTTCCCTCAATTCTCATATTCTGCCAGTGGCACAGCATAAAAACTCTTTAAAAGAATACTTGACCTAGAAGTTTTTGTGATAATTTACTTTCCCCCATGTCATTCCAAATCAGTTTGACTTTGTTCCTTATGTGAAACCTAAATAGATTTTTTTTTATATCCTGGCAAAACTTTAATTTAGTCATTTTCTATTTCGAGCTTCACATCATGTCCACACTACTGCATCAGCTTCAGATTTTCTACACTGGATGTATCAAAGTGAACGTTTTAGATCCATTTGACCAGTTGGCAGAAGTAATAGAAGTGCATGGAGTACACCAAAGATGGAACAGGGCATCAGTTTCCTGTTGGATATTTGTTGTGTTGTGCTTTGTCCAGTGTAGACAGCATCACTAGTTATAATAGGTTCTGTTTGCTTTTGTAGTATCACATTACAGCGCTTGTATAGACATAGTGCGACAGTCACCACATTTGGAACAATATGAGGTTAAATAAAGAATGACAGAATTTAGATTTTGGGGTGAACTTTTCCTCATTCCTAATCTCCACACTTTCTACACAAATACACTCCACTGACACAGTGCTAATAACTTATCCATAGCTACTGCTGCACTATACTTATTTTGTAGTAACACCCTTCTACAAAAGAATACTGGATTCACAATGTAAAGATTTTATCAGTGATCATTATTCAGTCCAATTCTTTATTGCTAGGTTTTTGAAACAGGATTGAGTCTCTTTTAGTCATTTGTACATTTTTACAAATGCACTGATTCTTAAATTTTAAGATAGTTCACCAAAAATAAAAATTCTGTTATCATTTACTCACTCCCATGTTGTTCCAAACCTTCTTACCCACATTTTTCTACTTAAGTTGTACTTAAAATGTGGTCCTTAAGTATGACTGTAGTGTATCATGGTTGTGTCCTATGAGGACCTCATAATACCACAACCTAATACCAAAGAAGTGATGAATTACAGTTATGTTAGAGACTTATGTTTCAGTATAAGGAGTTTTTTTAAAGGTTGTTTTGATTACCTTTTAGATAGAATGGTCGTTCAAAAGATTCAAAGCATTTGCCAAAATACTCTCCACTCAGATTTTTCTCAAACAGAACAGCTAGAAATGCGGTATAGTAGATTGTTTTGCCCAATTGAGGACATCACTATTTGCATGAAATTTACAGCGATGAACTGAAGGTTTCAGCTAGTGGTAACAGTGGTTAATTAGTTAAGTAATTTTTATGTCAATGCAATTTACAAGATTTATAAGATCTGTCCCTGCAATTTATTCACACTTTTCATGACTCTCAGTTGTCAAAAAAGCAAAAGAAAATGAAAAAAAAATTGTCTTCATATGAGTTTGTTATCATAAGGGGAATGGTTATACAGCATAAACTAAAATTGCCAAACAATCAATTTAATTAACTTAATAGCATTCTTACATGGATTTATAATTTAAAAGTTTGTATTTTTTTTTGTTTACATGTTGCATGGTACCCAATATTTATTGTCATTTTAATGTTGTATTACATGAATTTATTTAAGAATTGTATTACAAGGAATCCGTTACTAAACTTACATTTACATTTTGTAAAATATGCTGCAGTTAATTCAAGCAAAACCGTTTATTTGGCTTTTATTTTAGTGTGTTTAATGTTTTATTGAAGACATTGGGATAAATTATGATTATTTGTTTTAAATTGACGTCAACAACTTGTCAATGCTGTAAATTCAAGGTTTTTTTGCAAACCTCTGCAAATGTAGCATATTTTAAAAGTTGCATAATAATATAAATAATATGACAAGCATGTTTCAGCATTTTGCCCCTTAGATAAAACTAACAAAACTGAGCATTGCTGAGAATGGATTTGGTCCGTATTTGAAAAATTAAACCCTGAAATATAATTGAATGTTGGTTGGTAATGTGTATCACTATATTTTTCTTTTTTTTTCTACTTGCTTTTATATTTTATAAAAGTGTTTCTTCTTCACTAAAAATTAAACATTTGGAATTAAGACACTCCATTTTCAAATTGTGGATGTTTATCTAAAAAACCATGAGCTTATTATTAAATAACAGTTATTTGAGTTATTTTCTTCTTAGCAGAGTGAGGAACAAAAATATTATACAATGTTTTGAGAACAAAAAGTTTTTTTATTAAAGACCTTATCCTCTTGCTTTTGTTTATGTGTCATAAAAAATACTTTTTATTATTATCATTATTCAAGACCATATCCTCTCGTATACAGTATATTGATGTAAATTGAGAATATACAGTATTAGTTTGAGATAATTTTATGTAGCATCAATTTAAATATATTTAAGACAGACTATATGATTCAAAGTATTGTGATTTATTGTGATAAATCACAATGAAAAATTTGATATTTATTGTGTATAAATATAAATATAATTTATTGTGATAAATTTAATTTTTATTATCTTATTTTTTTGAATGCTTACACAGTTTCTGAAACAATGGCTCCTTTTCTTTAAACTTACACAAAATATGCACACAGCATTGCACATCTCTTGCAAAAGCAAACACTTAAAATTATTTTACTCATTAAAATTTTGTTTTTGCATAGTAAACACACAAACATCAAATTATTAACTACATACAGGTACATGCCAAACTACACATGGATATGACAAATGAAAAACACTTCTATCTTTTGACTTTGCTTGTTCATTGTGCAGTGGAGTGCACAGGAGTTTGTCATACGGTACTTACACATACAAAAATACACTGTATGTACAGTGTGCATGCAGAATTGATAAACTTTACATTGAACTGAATGAATTAACACTGAACTGACGAGCTGTACACTTTACAGCAGAATTTGTATAACTACTGCTTTGAAACAATCACAAATATAACTTGTATGCATCTTCAGTATTTACATAGAATTACACAGTACTATATACAGAAATGCTGAAAGGGTGAAAAATTTGTTTCTCAAAACAGTGAGTTTTGATTTCTAAATGAACACATTGGGTATATTTCCACTGTAAAAAGAAATGCAAGGGGTAAAAATAATTTATTTCTTCCTCAAAACATTGAGTTATGATTTCTAAATGAACAAGTTATGTATAGATGTTTTCACTCATTGGGTGTGGGTAAGCAGTAAATAAGTGTGGCGTTTAAATGGCAAACTGAGTGCAAAGCAGATAATGTGCTTGAAGTTTTGCGGACTTGGTGTGAAGAATGGTTTCACTAAGTGTGCCTAAAGTACAACTTTTAGTGTGTAAGCTATTTTCAAACACTTAACTGTGTAACTACTTTGTAACTACTTAAATGTTTAGCATATTAACAAAAAATCTCTTAAGCAATATATAATGCAAATGTTGATTAATACTTAAAAATTTACAACACGTAGCCTATATAAGAACTAGTGCTGTCAAACGATTAATCGCGATTAATAAAAGTTTTTGTTTACATAATATATGTGTGCTGTGTATATTTATTATGTATATATAAATACACACACATACATGTATTTATTTCAGAAAAAATATGTTGTTTATATATTAAAGGGGTCATATGATGCTGTTAAAAAGAACATTATTTGGTGTAATGAAATGTGTTTATGCGGTTTAAGGTTCAAAAAACACATTATTTTCCACATACTGTACATTATTGTTTCTCCTCTATGCCCCGCCTTTCTGAAACGCTTCGATTTTTACAAAGCTCATCGGTCTGAAACGCAAGGTGTGCTCTGATTGGCCAGCTATCCAGTGTGTTGTGATTGGCCGAATACCTCAAGCGTGTGACGGAAATGTTACACCCCTCACCATACAGTGATGCCCTGTCCAGCCGGAGCAACGAGACAAAAACATTAAAACCCATTATAAAAGAGGCATTTGTTGCATCCAGGGGGACATAATTACGGATTATAATGACTTATACAGGTGCATCTCAATAAATTAGAATGTCGTGGAAAAGTTCATTTATTTCAGTAATTCAACTCAAATTGTGAAACTCGTGTATTAAATAAATTCACTGCACACAGACTGAAGTAGTTTAAGTCTTTGGTTCTTTTAATTGTGATGATTTTGGCTCACATTTAACAAAAACCCACCAATTCACTATTTCAACAAATTAGAATATGGTGACATGCCAATCAGCTAATCAACTCAAAACACCTGCAAAGGTTTCCTGAGCCTTCAAAATGGTCTCTCAGTTTGGTTCACTAGGCTACACAATCATGGGGAAGACTGCTGATCTGACAGTTGTCCAGAAGACAATCAGTAGGTGCGTTTCCATTACCCTTCAAATTGCACAAATTGAAATTACGAATTGAAAATACGCCTAATGGAAACGCGTCAATTTCGCAAAAACGGCCATATATCGCAAAAACGTTTTTATGCTCGTATGAGGTGGTTTTTTAGGCAATGCGAAAAAGAAATAATTTGCAAAACTGCAATGGAAACGGCTTTTTCGCATTTACAGGTCACATGGCGTATGTAAAAAGTGTTGTAAATACAACTTAACCACTGATTTCTAGTCGTGTCCTCTTTTGGAAGACCAAACAAAGTAGTTTCGCTTTCACAACGAAACAGCGTCACACACCGCAGACTAGAGTGGGCTTGCGCCAATCACATGTGATAAAATAATTAATGCAAAATAATTTTCTTTAAAGCTCTCAGTGTCATTAACTAATCACTGCTTTAGTGATTCAATGCTCTGCATTTGTTTATTTGTTTGTATTTTATTCCTCTGGAGCCAAGGAAAAAGCCAGTGTCTTCATATACTGGACACCGACTCGGATGCTTGGTGGTTCAGTGGTGTTGCAGTATTCTGCTGTAGAAATGCACCGGTGGCGGCGCTGGACGCAGATGCCCTGACAGCGTGTCAGTGTCATTAACTAATCACTGCTTTAGTGATTCAATGCTCTGCATTTGTTTATTTGTTTGTATTTTATTTATATATTCCCCCCTCTGGAGCCAAGGAAAAAGCCAGTGTCTTCATATACTGGACACCGACTCGGATGCTTGGTGGTTCAGTGGTGTTGCAGTATTCTGCTGTAGAAATGCACCGGTGGCGGCGCTGGACGCAGATGCCCTGACAGCACATATATCTGTGTCTAACGGGAGAGGGTGTAGTCTACATGGAGCCACAACACTGATGAGAATCTACGATCTTTTAACTGGATTTCGCAAAATAACATCGTGTAGTCGAGGAAGCGTCTATAGTATTGCGGAAGGGGACAGTTCTTTTGTTTATCTGGGAGAGATCAGTGCATCTGGAGTATTGTAGGTAAGGTCGGAGGATATTCAGCATCATCAGGGTCTGAAGATGGAAGGCCAGATTCGCACTAGATTTATCACATTTCACAGTGTAGAAGGGTTAATGTTTTTGATACGTGTAGCGATTTCTTGTACACTGAGCAGCTTGACATGCTGTTAAATTACGCGAATCATCTCATATCGGAGAGGTGTCTTAATTCAGCCATGAAAATCAATATGGCTAAATATTCGTGAATTCGTGTATTTGGTCCATGCATAGGTTACTGATGTCACACTGATATCTGATGTAAATAAGGAGCTCTGATATTAAAGTATTAAATAAAATTTCTCCTTAACAAACATACAGTCTTCCATGTTGTTTTTATGTTTTATGTCACAGGATGCAACGGGGTTTCTCTGAGAAACAAAGATGAGCGTGACATCATGGTTCCTGGTCAGCAGCTCTGGTACTCGTCACCGTCTGCCACGGGAAATGATCTTTGTTGGCCGGGAGGACTGTGAGCTAA